GGGTGCCGTCCCTCGCTTCAGGGTGGACGTTGAAGGAACAGCGTCCACCGTGTGGTTGGGGCGCAGTGCAGCTGGCACCGCTCCCGTGGGTTTTAGATGGGACACTGACGGGAGACACTCTCCTTCTGGAGGAGTCTGTGTTCCCGCCGACGCCATCATAGGCCGTGCGGGTACCCTGCGCACGACCTCGGCATATCCTCCTTTTGATAAAAAGGAAAAACATTTTTTTGCCTCATGGTAGGAGATGTTTTTTTTGGTTTTCAGAGCCAATATTTCTTTTTCTTCTTTCCATTTCGGACAAGAGCGTGAGTAAGCTGGATGACGACCTTCACAGTTGACACATCTTGGATCGTTCTCGCAACAGTCAGCGACATGCTCTTTACTGGAGCACTTCGCGCAAGTATCACTTCCTCGGCAGCTCCGTGACCCATGGCCGAACCTTTGGCACTTAAAGCACCGCTGAGGGTTCGGCACATGGGGGCGAACACGGCACTGGATGTAGCCTGCCTTTATGGTCTCTGGAAGTGTAGTGGCGTCAAAAGTCAGTATAACATGTCTTGTTTTTCGCTCCACACCCTCACGACGAAGGGTGATGCGTCGAGCAGCTACTACTCTTTGGTCTGAAAGGCCTTCGACAAGTTCCTCGTCAGGTGAGTCCATTAGGTCGTCCTCTGAAATAACTCCTTGAACTGTATTAAGCTTATGGTGTGGAGTAACATTTACTTTATAGTCAGACACAGCATTGAGAGAAAGAAGGGCCTCACTTTGCTTTTTGGTGTTGATCTCAACTAGAAGGTCACCGGACGCCATCTTTTTTGCAGAGTAATCCTTTCCAACGATTCCTTCCAGTACCTTGGCGACCAGGAAAGGGGACAGTTTAGAAAGTGGTCTTTCCTCTTCAGAATGCGAGACAAGAAATTTTGGAAATTTTTCATGTATAATGGATGTTTTGAGAGTGACTTGAGCTTCGGTGCGACCTCTTTTCAGAGGCCGATCAAGAAAGTTTTTGTTGCGCAGACCCATATGAGATGGGAGGAAAATTCAGTGCCTGGGTGCACCGCCCACCACGGAGCCCTACAAGGGGGTAGGTAATGTGCCATAGCAAGAAGGGCTTGGCTGACACAATTAATCTACCAGTGCTGCCCGGGCACTACACCCTAGTGTGGTTGCAAGGACAGGACCTGTTTCCACTCAAGGTTGGCCCTTGCCGCCTAAGAAGGTGAAAAGGGAAGGAAGAGAGTGTAGACGAAAAGAGAAAGAGGTGGGAGGAAAAGTGAAAGACGAAAGAAGAGGGTTGAAGAGGCGACTGACTGAATCATCCTGGTCGGGCCAAGCCAGGACACCCGTCTACGAGAAGCAGGGGCCGAAGCGGTGTATTGCCTCGCCCGGGGGGCCCCGAAGGGTCCGAACATACCCCACGCTGAGCTCAACCACCAGGGTCCCCTTTTCCCCGGACACGGGTTAAGCCACGCACAGCCAGGCGTGGGTGGGTAAACCCACATAGCTCGGGATTCGCGGTGGCGCCAGTCACCAAGCACCTACCAAAGTAGGTGCCCCCTGCGTGCGGGTATGGTGGCCCATGTGGCTGGGGTCCGTGGTGACGCTACTCACCAAGAACTTAGCACCTAAGGTGCAGGCGCCCCCTGCGGGGCTCGGGGTACGTGGAGACGCCACTCTCCAAACACCTGCTTTCACAGGTGCCCCCTGCGGGGATCTTGCATCATATTTATATGACGTTTTGATAAATAGAACTTCAGATAATTCAAACGAAATTTGTGGCTTCCTGGAGTTTGCAATAATGAGAGTCTACTGTACCTCAAACTTCCACTTTGCGTTGAAACACACAACGCCCGTTGTAAGGGCATCACATGTGCAATTTCATCTCCCAACTTGAATAGTCCTCCAGCCCCAAATGCCATTCAATTGAATCTGTCATTTAAAGGGGCCACACCACATGAACAGATTTGAATCTAACACTAATGGCAGCTTCTGGCCACGAGCTAGAAGAGCAGGCATTCAAGCATTTTTGGGGTACAATCTGACGAGGCTCATTTCACAGGTGAGGCAAGGAGGAGAGCTGACTTGGCTTTTCATCATCTCTTTTGGTAAAAGTTAACACACCGAAATGCCTAAAATCATAATAAATTCCTCTTCTGTGTTCTTTGGCTATTTGGGATTTAGTGGAGTCACTATTAACAACCTGGACAGTTATTAATGCTGTAGTTAACCCCACCCCCCCCCCCACACTTTTGTGAAACTTTCTGGCCTCATCCTGGCTACGCAGCAATTCAGTTTCCCCACTAAATTTGACAGAAAAATAGATGACACATGACTTGACGTCATGAGACCTACAAACAAATTCAGGTTCCAGGCAAAATTTAGCGAAAAATTTATGTCATGTGACTATGCGTCTATTCAGCTTTTCCGCTGAATTCAGCGGAAAAACTAATGTCACGCAACCTATGCATCAAATCAATTTCCCCGCTAAATTTGGCATAACAAAAATTAATGTCACGTGACCCAACGTCACGAGTCCAACAGGTTCACCACGAAATTGAGAGGAAAATTTATGTCACATGTCCTATGCAGCAATTCAGGTTCCCCGCTATATTTACCGGAAAAATTGATGTCATGACGTATGCACCAATTCGATTTCCCCGCTAAATTTGGCGGGAAAACTGAATTCATTAAATAAAATTTTTACTCACAATTTTTGTCGTAGTATTCATGGTTCAACCAACAATAGTGGTTTACGTGGCCATATTTCATTGTCCCTTTAATTAGAAGCTGGAGCACTGCTCAAAGTAATAGCACCACAAGTCAAAGTGCCGCGTAGAAAGGTCCCGAAATTCGCTAAAAAAAATTTAAATGACCAGCGTCGAAAGCTAAGTGCAACTTAAAAATAATGGCACATAGAACACACCAAGCACCGAAAAAAAAAAAAAAGTCAAAACTAAGCACTGCCATTAAGAATGACGCCAAAATCACCGCTGTCGCTACGCTAATTCTTGGTGAAATGCGTTGTCATTTAGCGCAAGAGTTTGTTGTCTTCGGAGAGCCAGTCTGTTCTCACGGGTGTCGGCGGTTTCGGATGTAGCCAAAAGAGCTCTCCCCGACCGCCGCCACTATCCGTATACTGTTATCTTCCAAGAGCCAACCTTTCCTCCCGAATGTCGGCGGTTTCGTGCAAGCGTCGTCGTCGCCACGCCTCGAATTTACGTTGTCAAACAAGTCGTGCATACTGGGAAAACGAAACGTCATGCCTAGCCACGGTGCCGTAACAAGAGAAGTGTGCGTCAATGGTGGCACGTCCCTGGAAGCGTGCGACGAGACCCTTTCCCTCTTATGCAAGAGGGAAAATGGACGTAACGGGTGAACAAACAGAATGAAAGAGCAAAGCGGGAACTGCGCCGTGTCCTCACGAAACTAGTCTAGTCCAAACCACGACCATTCAGACGAAAGTCGGCTGCATGCACCGGAGCAATACCGTATTTACTCGCACAATGAACGCACTCGCGTAATGAACGCACCCCCCAAGTCGGCTCTAAAAATCTCGACTTTTTTTTTCACTCGCGTAATAAACGCACCCCCGAACTCGGACGTCAAAATTTTGACCACCTCCCCCCACGCGCGCGAAATGAACGCACTTTCTATCCTGGTGCAGCGAGGTCGCGAATGCATGGGCAGCGTGGGCGAACAAAACGCCTTGCAAAAGGCGTTAAAAAAATTCGCAAAGATTCAACGGGAGCAAGAAAAAAAAACATGGAGAGTAGCTTTTCTTTTTTGCGCAGCGCAGTCTGGACTTTGGGCTCGCGCGCCGCCGCGCGCAAGGAGGTAAGAAAGAGAAGCGGAGAAGCGCTCTAAGCGAACAAAACAGCTTGCAAAAAGCAGCAAAAAAAAAGGAACTAAGAAAAAACAAAAAAAAAAGAGGAGCTTTTTTTTTTTTTTCTTTTTCTTTTTTGCACAGCGCAGTTTGGTTACCGGCGGTCGCGCGCCGCGCGCAAGAGGAGCGGAGAAGCCCTCCAAGCAAACAAAACAGCTTGCGAAAGGCGGCAAAAAAAAAACAAAAAAAAAAACACACACACACGGAAATGAGAAACAAACAAAAAAAAAAGGAGCTTTTTTTTTTTTTTTTTGTGCACAGCGCAGTTTGGTTACGGGGGTCGAGCGCCGCGCGCAAGGAGATAAGAAAGATAAACGGGAGCTCTCGCCTAAGCAACGCCTAAGCAAACAAAACAGCTTGTGAAAGGCAAAAAAAAACAACCAAAAAACTAAAAAAAAAAAGGAGTTTTTTTTTTTTTTTTGCACAGCTTAGTTTCGTTACCGGGTCGGGCGCCGCGCGCAAAAAGATAAGAAGTTGGATTTTTCAGGGTAAAAGGTCCGTTCATTATGCGAGTAAATACGGACACAAAAATTTTACTTCGCGTAATGAACGCCCCCCTCAACTTTGCATCGATTTTTCGGAAAAAAAAGTGCGTTCATTCTGCGAGTAAATACGGTAAATGCCAACACATTTAAGAGCAGTGGTGCCATGAAACTGCCGACGACAGCCACTGCCACTCAGCAAGTCAAAAAAATAATTTGAATTTTTTTTTCCTAAATTAGCTGAGAGATGCAGCAGCACTGTTCCTTCAATTGTGCTTCTCATCTCAAAGATGCGGTGCATTTGTCCGACACTCAGAGAAAAGCTAAAGGTCTTCTGCAGCCATTGCAGTTCTCGCACCGACGAACCTTATTCTCCATTACGACTACTGTGAGTGAGCAAGACTAGTACCTACGCGAAATTGATCAACTTGTATGTAGTAGCAGTCATTTATGACTGGTAGACTCATATTTCATTTGTGAAATGGGAATTCACTATTGCGACCACGGCAACATGTCGAAACCATAAGGAAAGGGCCAGGATTGTAGTTCGCTCTCTTAAACTGATATTATCTTATAAAGGTGTGTGACCCTAATACCATTCTAGTACAAGCCACCAACATTGTTTTGTAACTTGCCTTCTGACGTGGAAAAGAGGAAACTCTATGTAGTTTTTGACAAGCACAGTGAAGTTGCGGACATCTCCGAACAGGGCTTGTCCATTTTTCCTGCAACGTGGCAAAAGAAGAAAAAAGATAAATGTGAGACAGCCCAGCAAAACGTGATGAAACAATGATGGAGAAGTTGAGCAGGGTCTCACAGAGGTCCGTAATTCTGCTCCACGGGGCACCAGCCTGCAATCTCGCACACATGCAGGGTCTGGTTGGGCGGAGGTGCAGGCACACACCTCCCGGTCAACACCCCTGCATCGTCCAGGAGTGGAAAAGACCGGTCATTTGAAGCAACGATAAAGCTGAGTAAAAGGTAATTGTGTCGTGCGTTTGTTTAGACAGCAGGAAGTTAGCGCAAAACCCTGAGCAAGTGCCCGCTCAAAACTTGGAGATGATCACACAGAACTGGGAGGTGAGCACTCCTTAGGTCAACAATATGTCAAGATATGTTCGCTGTGCGTTTTCTGAATGTAACAAAATTGAAGGGTGCGCACCGAGGGCGTTTAAAAAGGGCAGGACCCGGCATGACGTCGTGCCCGGTGACGCCGGAAAAGGAACTCAATCCTAGACTGCCTTGCGCACTGACGCACTGTCATCCAAGCTACCATCATCTGCTCGCCGCTCGGTCGCCGGCGTTAGGCTTAGACTATCATGCTCTGTGCCTGCGGTCCGCTTCGTCCGCTCGCTGTCGTGACTGGCTTTTCGATACAGTCGGCGCACCAAAGTAGGTTTCAATGCGAAACTGCACTCTTATCACAGCGGAGGGAAACAAACACCTTCTGGAAGCAGGGCTTGTACGGCTTTCTCAACCCGCGGTGTCAATTCCGGCATTCGCGCGTATGACGACCGACACGCTCGCTCTCCAAAGCCGCACTACGACGACTCGCTCTAGACAACGCTCCCGGCGCGGTGTCGAGAGCGTCCACTACACGCCGACTTCCTACTGGTCAGGCAAGTGTTGGTCTCCAAGTCTCGCCTGTTCGATACCGATTCAATGGACATCGCCATGAAATTATGGGGCAAACAACCGTGTTGCCACGGCAATGCTATGGAAACACAGATGTTTGCCCCCATAGTTTCATGGCGGCATCCATAAACTGGGTTTCCTAATCACGACGAAAATTACCCGAGACTGTGGTACAAAATGGGGAACTTATCAAAAGAAAGAAGAGGCAGGAAAGGATAGCCTCAATAATCGAGAGAATAAGGAGACATTTCGTGGCCAAGCCTACTGTCATTACACTTCGCTCCACATATGGAGAATACAAACGCCACGCTTTGGCCAATATAACCTTCTTGATGGGTACTTATTGTGGAATGGGCGAATGCTCGGTAGTTCATAGAGGTCAGTCCCAATGGACATCTAGTGTCACTGCCGTAAATTATACTTTTTTTTGTCAGTGCAGAGTGGCTGCTAGCCTGCGGTCTTTGCAGAGGTCATCAAAAGAAAAGATATCAGCTGGATCTACTTTCTTACATTTATTAATTAAACCCTAAAGATGTTGATTCGTAAGTACTATTACGGCGAAGTACCGCGTCTGCAATTTATAAACAGTGTCTAAAATGACCATGTGACACCTGTGGGCAGCATGAGCAACAAAACGTCACGGTAGCTATGCAAAAAGGTTGAACAAATAGTATTCAGCTTTAATTTTCAAATAATAAATTGGGAGTGATAAATACATTGAGGTCAGCGTTCTTGTACGAGGAGTGACCAATAACTATTGCCTTGCAGGCTCTAACTTTTTTATTCAGGTATGGAATTGTAAGATGTTACATTCGGATGAAAGCTTGGGATCTGCTCCTTCCCAGGAGCACATAACATTTCAATACATAGTCCTGACCGGCGGCGGTGCACTGCAGCTATAGGCACACTAAGCATGCCATCGTAGATGATTCAGGGCAGCCACTGACAAGACCAACTGCAGCTGGAGGAGCAACAGTTCCAAGATTTTTTAACTCGTTCCCCTTACAGACCGGACCTCGCGCCATCAGACTCTTGGCTGTTTTCCAAGATAAAGGAACATCTGAAGGGTACACAGTTTGCGTGATGAGGTTACCGATGCAGTGCGCCGTTGGTGTCAATAGCCGCACTCAATCATCTATGACGGCATGTGGAGGGTAGTGCACCGATAGCAAAGTGTGTAGCTGCCGGTGGGGGCTGCTACAGTATAGACCACTTACAACGTAACCGCTTATAGTGCAGGACCGGGTATAACGCGGCTTTTTTAAACCACCGGTTCGCCTCCCATAGAACTCCATGTATTTAACATACCGCTTAAAATGCAGGTGCGCGAAGGGAAATACCGGTTATAGTGAGGTTTTTGGAACAGCCCAGCGACCGCGCCGACTGACCGACGCAGACAGCACGCTTCCCTGTGCGACACTAGATAACGGCGCGAGCCGCAGCGGTACTCGCGGGGCAAGGAGGTTGCTCGAAGAAGCGGGAGAAGCGAAGAGAGAGGCTTCAGTTGCCATAACGACGGAGGGACGCACGCACGTGTCGTTCTCGTGCGTGCATCCCTCCGCTGCGTTGGAAACAAACAACCGCAACGACAGACCTATCGCAGGTCTAGGAGAAGTGTTTGCGCGCGTTGCATGCCGGTCGCGGGCCGACTGCTTCTATCCGCGAACATGGCGTCGGTTGTGATCGTCAACGCAGAAGGCGTGGTGAAGCTCATCGTTCCGCGTAAAAGCGCTATCCTTGACTGTGAATTTTCGTTGTGTGTCGCTATGATAACCCAGCACGTACTTGAAGGGAAGATCCACCTACTCGTGCGGCGATGTCGTGGCGGCACTCTCAAGACGGCAGAAACGTCCGTGTCGTCGTGTTCGTTTACTTCGACTACAGTGGTGCTTTCTAGGCATTTGTGTTTTCGAACATCGCCCGGATTTCTTATTTGGAGCATTTCATGCCTGTGGTCAAGTTGAAGGTATTACTGGCGCGTACCGTATAAAGGATGCGAATTTTCACGAGTTTTCGTCGCCGGAAAAAAGTGATTAGCGTTAGCAATCCTGAACGCTCGCAATGTTTGTCCGCAACCCGCGACGCCGTTAAAAAGCTGCGCCAGGCAAAAGTCGCTCATTTCTTTCAAAATCTGTGACACACTTGAGAGAGAAGTGTACTAGTCTGGTGAAATAAAGACTTTCCTCAAACTAAGCCTTATTTTTCATCTAACATAAAATAAATTCTTTTAGAAAGGTAAGTTGCCTCATGGCATGTATTTTGGCCTGAAAAATTGATGTTTTGGTTATAGCGCGGTACCGCTTATAGTGCAGATTTTCGCGACTCCCGCGACATACGTTATATGCGGTCTACATTGTATATTGAAAAGTTATGTGCTCCTGGGAAAGAGGAGATTCCAAACTTTAATTCAAATGTGACATCTTTCAATTCCATCACTGAATAAAAAAGTTACAGCCTGAAAGGCAAAACTTGTTGATCACCCCTCGTGTTAGGTGTACGCTACGACGTCACGGGATCGTGATACAGTCTCGGTTCCAAGCACACCTGGGTCTTCTGTCGATTGGTGACCATCATAACCACGCTGCTCTTCCTGCCGCGGCTTGCATTCGTAGTGAAATGCGGTTGTGGAACTCGATTGTGGATTAGAATTATAATAACACAAAGTTGAGCAATAAAAAATTTAAAGCCCAAGAGGACTCAAACTTAGAACTTTGCGAAATCAGTAGCAAGAAGGGACGCGCACGAGTGATCTGTTGACTATCAGCACATTCGTTTTGGACCTTTTATTTTCGTGGGTGTCCCTAAGACATTGTAGTTCTTCCACGACCGGCTTTGTAATCACAAGTTTTCTATTAAATTTCCTTTACCACGATCTTCCCCAATAGTAACTTGACATGCCCCTCAAGTATGCAAAGACAATTCATTAACTTATATTTCCAGGCTTCTCACCCATGCTCTGCGAGCTTATCAGCAAGCTCGTCGTTTGACGATTGTATTGAAACGCGGCTCGACCAATCAGAGTTGCAAGCGATTGTTTCAAACTCTCCTCTGTAGCCCAACATGCGGTAGCTAAAACAACGTACGGTGTCGGCGTACAACTCGAAACCTCAAGGTTACACCGCGGTGTAATAGGCGACGCCAGAGCTCAATGAGGTCGGCCATCTTACCATTATCTGAGCATAATATCAAACATCAAATGTCATCCGTTGACTCGCGTGCGCCACGTCCTTATGGTGCCGCTGTTGGAGCAATATCTGACACTGACTCTGCCCATCTCAGTCCTGTCTATGTCGCCATTTTGTGCAGACGACAACATTACCTACTGGTTAACTACCGCGACACAGTATTTGTAGAATTGAGGGGGAAGCTCCCTAAGAAACAAAAATTGTTTTGACGCTAGTAAATTAATCTGGATGATTATTTATTTATTTGACATACTATTAGACCAAGTTTGTGGGAGCCTCTGGCTCCCTTTCCCTGATCCGGCCTTCGGGCCGCGCGACGTTGGAAGCCACTTGGCTTCCGACCGGAGCGTACCTTATCGTGGCAAGGAGAGGCAGCCATCTTGGTTGTCTACTCTCGCCACCCCTCCGTCCGCGTCCCTCCCGCTGGGGGGGACGTAGGGAACTTCTCTTTGGCGGGCTCGCCTGCCCCTCCGGGGACGAGGCTGGAGCCGCCAGGGAGAGAAGGAGAGAGAGAGCGGGTCCTCTGGCCGCTCGGAGAAGGGACTGTTCTGCTGGACTTGAAACTGTTCGGACGTGCGGCCACGCACTCTGCTGCCCCACCTCCGTCCAGGCTCTCGGGAAAGTGCGGCAAGGTAAGGACAACCTCCCCCTTGCCGTTACTAGTCTTTATATCTTTGTATTTATCCGGACAAATAAACCCCGGGTGTCCCTCTATTCTGTGTGTCCGTGTACTCCCTTCGTGAGTCCCGGCTAGCGGGTGCAGCCAGCAGTCGAACCCGTCGTAGAGGTGACTCTGATCCGCAGCGGGGTGGTGGTTTCGCGGTCGGCCTCCTATCCGGACGCCTCGCACCCCTTTGAGACCTCCACATTCTGGCGCCCAACGTGGCACCACGGCACCTATCGTTGTCATGGTTTAGCGTAAACTTTGTGGTTGCCCCGCTGTTAGGGTTTCTTGAGCCATGTCCGCGGATCAGCCCGATTTCGGAGCTTTGATCATGTTGGCGGACGTGGCTACGGGAGGGCAGCCCCTGGCCGCCCCACTCCCACCCGACGGCTACCCGGCCACCGGCTCTGTCGGCGGCCGCTGGTTTGCGCCGCCC